GAAAAGTTATATTAATGAAAGTAACAGTAACAATACGTATCATTAATGTTGTTCTATGATTTATATGTATATATAAAAATATTGAAGAATTGTATTACATCAGTACAATTTGAAGTATAAATACTTATATATACCCTTAGTAATAATGATAAGTATTATACCATTTATTAAGGCAACATTTATACTTAGAAAAAAAGACTTTTCTTTTTTGATCATAAATCATTTTTACTTTTTAGTATTTAATAATTTTGTGGTAATCTTATGAATATAAAATGATTCCTCAATATGCTCAACGTAAGTATGAAATGATACACTCTTTAGTATATATGTAATAATTGTGTGAATTATAGGACAAACCGGAGGCGAAATTGCCATCTGGCTTCTAATCACTGTCGGCGCACTTCTTATACCCATTATTGTAATCGCCATTTGTTGTATACGACGTCAGTAAGTGCTCATGCAATATGTATCATAGATACGTTTGTCTTTATTTTGACTCTATATGTTTTTATCGGTCATCATATGGCCATAGTCTATAAAAAACAAAATTCTATAAACATACAAAGTAGATTAAGAAAAAAATGTTATGTTTTGCAGATATGAAAACCATATTCCCCGTTCAGTTTTCGTAAGTTTATTATATTCTTCTTCTTTTGATTCTTACAAAATAAGAAAAAGTTCAAACTTAAAAAAAAAATTATTTGATATTTTCTTTCTTAAATATTTCTACTGCACAAAATTTAAATAAACACAATTGCTTGTCTTTTGCCTCTATCTTGCTTTTTCTAATTAACAATTTTGTATGTGATTACTACTTCTTTTATTCACTTGTGTTTTTTTTACACGAAAAACAAAAAAATACTTCATTCGTTCACAGCTGCTGGAAAACGATTCCTGCTCGTCGTTCTCAAACTTCTCTTGAAAAAATTACTAACCATAATGAACTACTAACCACTGATTCGACTTCATGGGTACAACGAGTTTGGGATCTGTATGTACGTTTTTTCTTGTCAATTGGGAATAAAAGAATTATATATGTTGAAAAA